CCTCTTTACTCTCGCGTGTCACGTGACCGAGTGTAATCGCAGCCTCTGCGATTGAAAAATCATGTTTTTTCATATCGCGATATAATCGCAAATGCAATTAATCGTTCAGCCCTAGTTTTAAGCCATTCAAGCATGAGACGGCGTGAAAGAGATTTCAGTGTGGTACTCGCGCACTGTGATAGACTGTTTCTGTGCGCACGCACGCAAAAAGCCGCAGCTCGGACCGCATATGTGAGAACCAAATTGAGTTCTCTTTCGCGTCGTCTTGACCAAATGCACACAAAATTATGTCAGAATCATGGTCTTGACGAGTATCCACGTAAACGCGTATTGTTTCCGAACCGTTCTTCACCCCAAACAAGCAGGTTCACGACTTCTTCCTCCCCTAACGGTAGTACTGCTCGGTCCCCTCGCCGTATCGGCTCAAATGTATAAGCAGTTGCACTTATTATGGGCTCAACAGTCCTTTTAAGTTTGTCTTCCTCAATTTAAAAACAAGTGCGTGTTCAAACATTAAAGAAATGCTTATATTACTGCACTGTCCAATGGAGCGAACCAACCCTGTGACGTCACACGCGGTGGTACTGCAAGATGGCGGCACCCTTGCTCCAAAAGCTATAAAACATCCTTTTTCTTTAAAATGGTTACATTAATCGTGTTTATTATATATTTTTTTTTATTAAAGTGGAAATCCGTTTACTAAATGATGTAAACTTGACTGACTGATTCACTTAACACTTTAAAGGGATGTTTGTGTTGTTTATTATTTATTTTTATTTATACTATTTGTAATATTTGTGTAATTACTTGCCTGTCAGTCGAATTTGTGGCAGAACATTTTGCAGTGTTTACATGTTTATTACTGCATATAATTCATTAAAATAGAAGTTTAATTTCATGGTACCAAGTTGATTTCAAAATGCACCTAGATTTTTTTGCATTGTTTTTCAGTTGAATAAAAGACCATTTTTCCTATATATTTCATCATTGAGGATTTTTTTTAAAATAAGTTTAAAAATCTCGTCTCGTTCTCGTGTCTCGTCTCTCGTCTCGTCTCGTGGGATAAGTGTCTCGTCACACCCCTACTAGTTTATTATGATGATGAAACCCCCAAAATGCAATTGAGGCTTATTGGAAAAATATGTAGTTTTTAAGAACTGATTGATTTAGAAGCTCAGCAGGTGAGTTAATGATTTAGAAACTTTTATTTATTTTTATTTTTTTACAGAAACGGAGGGTTTCAAAATCGACACTATGGGAACTTACCATGGCATGACACTGAAGTCTGTGACGGTGAGTTCATATGATTTGAGTCTAATTTGTTTTTGATATGTCTGTGCCATAGAACCAGTCAGCAATGAGGCCTTCCATTTGTGAATCAGACAGGTTTATTCATTGGATTTATTTGGTCCAGTTCATCGGAATGTCTAGGTTCATCAAAAACATCTTTGTGTAGATGGGAAAATCTATGCTCCGCCTGTTTCTTTTTTCAGTTTGCCAAGCCTTTATTTGCATGCAAGTTTTGGGTTTCTGGCTTAATTTCAAAATGTGAAAGGAATGAATTAGTAACTGTTAACCTCACACACAGTGTATGACACATTGCCATCTGTGTCTGGGTTGTTCTGTCTCAGCTAGAATTGCAACTTCCGTGTTGAAATTCACTTCGTTGTTGGACTGCTATTTGGTCAAAGCAGTTGAAGATCCAGGTCATGCGTTTCATCGTTACTCCTGTTAAACACCAATGAATAACAAATATTGTTTGGCTTTAAATAGGGATGTGCTGTGTTTTTCTGTTTTTTTTCCCCACATAGCTGATTTGCTTTATTTTTTTACAAATGCTGTATTCAGATTACTGTCAAGTCTATCTTACAAAAGAGTACATTATTTTAAAGAGTGTATATCTGAATACCTCAGACCTTGCATGTTTTCATTTACTCCATGTCACTCGGGGCGGGTTCATAAATGTCCATTCGCAAAATGAGCAAAGTGAGGGAGTATTTAGACTTAAAATAAAATAAAAAGTTTTATTTAACAATTATTCTTTGTTTATACGCTTGTTATACTGCCAGTTATTAGAGATCGCAGTTGAGCTCTTAAAGCGCCTCCTGCTGGCAGAGAATGAATTTGCACTTTCAATAAGCCCGTCTGCTGTTTTATATTCACATTATATACATGTATATTTCCCCCAGGGGAAGTGCCGCCACACATAGTGTAAGTCTGTGGGAAACACTGTTATAGCCAGTTATTCTACTTTGAAATGTTTTGTGTCGGAATGTACCTGATGTCAATATTACATACTGCACCTCTAATACCTGTGCCCTCCTACGGGTTTCCAAAAAATATATATATATTTTTTTGGCTTTAAGGTTACCATTGAATGGGAAATTAGGACTGTGGGAGTATGTGTAGTGGTAGCTGTTTTCAGGTAGTCTCTCTCTCTCTCTCTCTCTCCCCCCCCCCTCCAGTGGGGAACATATTTATTTGATCCCCTGCTGATTTTGTAAGTTTGCCCACTTACGAAATAAGAAACAAATGAAGGGTCTGTAATCTTTATGGTAGGTTTATTTTAACGTATAGAGACAGAATATCAACCAAAAAATCCAGAAAAAACACATTATATAGAGGTTAGAATTTGATTTGAATTTCAGTGAGTGAAATAAGTATTTGATCCCCAAGCAAAACATGACTTGGTGCAGAAACCCTTGTTGGCAAGCACAGAGGTAAGACATTTTTTTTGTAGTTGGTCACCAGGATTGCACACATCTCAGGAGGGATTTTGATCCACTCCTCTTTACAGATCCTCTCTAAATCCTTAAGGTTTCTTACGTCGTTTGGCAACTTGAAGTCTCAGCTCCCTCCACAGATTTTCTGTAGGATTGAGGTCTGGAGACTGGCCAGGCCACTCCATGACCTGAATGTGCTTCTTCTTGAGCCACTCCTTTGTTGCCTTGGCGGTATGTTTTGGGTCATTGTCATGCTGGAAGACCCATCCATGACCCATCTTCAGTGTTCTGGCTGAGGGAAGGAGGTTCTCGTCCAAGATTTTACAGAACATGGCCCCGTTCATTTGCCCCTCAATGCGGTGAAGTCGTCCTGTACCCTTAGCAGAAAAACAGCAACAAAGCATAATGTTTCCACCTCCGTGCTTGACTGTAGGGATGTTGTTCTTGGGGTCATAGTCAGCATTTCTCTCCCTCCAAACACGGCGAGTCGAGTTAATGCCAAAGAGCTCAATTTTGGTCTCATCTGACCACAGCACTTTCTCCCAAACCTTCTCTGAATCATTTAGATGTTCATTGGCAAACTTTAAACGGACTAACAGGAGATCTTGCACGGAGCTCCAGACCGAGGCCTATTGATGGTTGTTTTGTATTTCTTCCACTTCCGAATAATCACACCAACAGTTGTCTCCTTCTCACCAAGCTTCTTGCTGATGGTCTTGTAGCCCATTCAAGCCTTGTGCAGATCTACAATCTTGTCTCTGACATCCTTTGACAGCTCTTTGGTCTTGCCCATGGTGGTGGGAGAGGTTGGAATGGAAGATACAGATTATGTGGACAGGTGTCTTATACACCTAACAAGCTGACATTAGGAGTAACTTCTTTAAGTGACAGGACTATTCTGTGTTCCACATGGGCACATAACAAATCAGTGGGAGCCAGAATTCATGCTGGTTGGTAGGGGATCAAATACTTATTTCACTCACTGAAATGCAAATCAATTTCTAACCTTTATATAATGTGTTTTTTCTGGATGTTTTGGTTGATATTCTGTGTCTATCCGTTAAAATAAACCTACCATAAAAATTACAGACCCCTAATTTCTTTGTAAGTGGGCAAACTTATTTCACTCACTGAAATGCATATCAATTTCTAACCTTTATATAATGTTTTTTCAGAATTTTTTGAATCGGCAGGGGATCAAATTAATATTTTCCCCTCTGTATATAATATAATATAATCTTTCGAAAGGGAGAGTAACAAACAAGCTTTCCACAGGTGAGAGTAATATAATTTATTTTGTGAGTCACATGATTAGCTGTCATGTGTAGGTGCATTCACACAATGTTGTAGTTACCAGATTCCAACTCCGAACTCATAATTACAACATGTAAATTGGGAATTTTTTTGAGAGCTATGACTTGTACCATGTGAACGTTGTACCACCTGACCGCCGCAGATTCATTTTGATGTTAGGTTTAGTAGAGGTGGGAGAAAAAATCGATTCTCCGATGCATCGTGATTCTCTCTCCAACGATTCTGAATCGATTCTGAGCATGGTTTTTCCCGCATGGCACGTGTGTGCGCTATAGACAGTCGCGGTGGGCTTCATTGCACAGAATATGCACTGTGAGACGTGCGCATTGCTTGACAGTGTGTGCTTCCACCCGCCGTTATTTCAGTATTTTACTTTAGATATGATTTCAAAGATTATTGTCTTAAAATAATTCCCCATGTTTTCCATGCTGATACTGTGGTGACGCGTTCATGTGGCGCTGCCAATAACGCACCTAAAAGCTGTCAAAGACAACAGGAGAACACATTGTCTCACGCGCACACTGTAGACTTGCGTGGCATAAAAAAAGACTTGCGTAGCATATAACGGTTACAGTAACTTGGGACGATGTCAAATAAGAGTTGTGCGGACCACAAACCCCCCCGACTGGGTTAGAGGTGTGGCTGAATCCGTAATTCCGTATTCAGAAAGGCGCGGAAAACAAATAACGCATTCTACGGAGCCACCAAAGGGACATGGTTAGCCGCTTGCTAGCGGTAGCCTGTTACATTACAGTACATAACATTTCACTTACCACAAAAACAGAGTAAGGAGAGATGACTTGATAGGATGATGGTGAATGATTTGAGCACCACTGACAAACACCTAATCTTGTAAAATGTGTGGTAAGTACTGCCGAGTGCTGCTCCGTACGTGTGATCGCGAATCTCGAAAGTGAAAGTAAAAAACAGGCGTGCGTTCATAAGCGATTTCAGTGCCCCGCATATTAATAATGGCTCCCTGATGCCCGCAGTTTATATACAGTATAATTACCCAACGATATAATTGCGACTAGATTTTTCCTCCCATCTCGTATCTATTCCCTTTAGGGGTTCCATTTTTTTATAATTGAAATGTCCTAGCCTTATGAGCAGTTGATTTATGCTAATTGACAGACTGTTATGTTAATAAGTGCCGTCATTCGGTTATGTTTATTATATTAATGTTTCAGCACGTTACAATCATTATATGGCTTGAGTTAAGGTAGCCTATCTTCTGAATTAAACAGTTTATC